ACTACAGGCTTGGCCAGAATCCAGAAAGTGTTTATTCAGGAAAAATAGCTGGATTTCAGGAAAAAAGTGAATTCTGTGACATTTTTAACTTTAATCCCAGTATGATCCCTTTCATCCCATTTTTACAATATCCTTGAAACCTTCATAACTATAGTAGACATGAAAAGCAAGCAACCCAGGAATCACTGGATGGGGCACACAATGAGTTTGGGGCTCTCCAAAAGCTTCACCCCTAGAAAACTGTCACTTTTTAACCAGTCTTGGGGCTCACTGAGAAGCTCCTTCTCAGGGGTTGTCTATATTTTACCTGAATCAGAGCTTACTTTGTGTGAACAATCTTATACCTAGGGTATCTGTTGGGGAAAAATAGTGGCAACTGTTTAATTTTGCAGTTGCCTGAGGCAGTAGTACTAGTTGGGGCTAACCAGAGGCTGACCAAAAAGCTTAAAGCAAGCACTGGATAAAATAAGGTGTCCATTAGCAGACTTTGAAAAGCACTGACACATTCCTGGGAATCTAGAAGGCCACATGCATGCCCAGGAAAGACCTGGGAAGGTCTTCATCATTGATCTATTGCTTACCTTGAGCCCTGCACAAGGCAGACTTACAAACTATCTCTCAGACCACTGAAGTTAGGACCCAACACACACAGAGAATCCCCTGGCAAAGACTGAAATAAATATTCATTCTAGGCATTTAAGGAAATACTATCAATCATTAGATGATTGCTAGGTTAACTGAGCAGACTCCAGTGGGCACATATGATAAAGAATATAGACTTTACAGGATTAGTCCATGAAAGTCACTAAATAAAAGCATCAGTAACACCACCAAACCCTAGACACCGATAAGGAATTTGATTTCCAGAGGCACCACAGTGTATTGTTTTTAAATGCCCAGTTTTCAACAAAAAGGTTATAATATATTCAAAGAAACAGGAAAGTATGACTCATACACAGGAAAAAAAACCATTCAATACAAACTGTCCTTGAAGAAGCACATGTTGGATTTACTACACAAAGTCTTTAAATCAGACACTGTAAGCATGTTCAAAGAACTAAAAATATGTCTAAAGAACTAAAAGAAAAGAAAAATATCTCAACAAATAGAGAATTCACCAAAATTAAATATTTGTGTGATTTATGAACACTATCAAAGGTGCTAGTGTTGTGGTGCAGCAGGTTAAACCACCGCCTGCAAAGTCAATATCCCATATGGGAGTGCTGTTTCAAGTTCCAGCTGCTTTGCTTCCATTCCAACTTCCTGCTACTGTGCCTGGGAAGGCAGTGGATGATGGTCCAAATACTTGGAACTCTGGCACCCATGTGGTGAGATCCAGATGGAGTTCCAGGCTCCTGCTTCATCCTGGTCCAGCCCTTGCCATGGCGCTATTTGGAGGAAGCAGTGGATGGAAGACCTCTATCTCTCTCTCTGTCACTCTTGCCTTTCAAACAAATAAAATAAATCTTTATAATAATAAATGAGACCATCGAGAAAGTTGAAAAGTCAATCAAAAGAAGGATAAAATACATGAAAGTCATGTATCTGACATGAGATGTGTATCTAGAATATACAAAGAACTTTGATGACTCAACAATAAGAAAAGAATTCAATTAAAAATGAGTATAGGATTTGAACAGATTTCTCCCAAGAGGCTATACAAATGGCCAATAAGCATAAGAAATGCTGCTCAACCTCAGCCAATAGGGAAGTTCAAATCACACCACAATGAGATATCATTTCATACTCACTAGGATAAAAAAGATAGACAATAACAAGTGTTCAAAGAATATGGAGAAATTGGAACCATGACAGGTTGCTGACGGGTGTACGAATGGTACAGCCTCTTTGGAAAAGTTTGTCAGTTCATCAACAAGCTAAACGCTGAGTTACTATAAGACCCAGCAATTCCACACCTAGATTTATACCCAAAAGAATTAAGAGCATATGTCCACATAAAACCTGTACACAAATGTTCACAGCAACAATATTCCCAACAGCCAAAAAGTGGGAACAACCCAAAAGTATCATCTGACACATGGATAACCAAAATGTGAAATATCCATTCAATAGAATATTATTCAGCAAAAAAAAGGAATGAAGTACTGATACATGCTACCAAATAAAAGAACTTTGAAAACATTATGCTAATTAAAAGAAAACACAGGGCCGGTGCTGTGGCACAGCGGGTTAAAGCCCGGTTCTGAAGTGCTGGCATTCAATTGGGTGCCAGTTCTAGTCCTGCCTGCTCCTCTTCTGATCCAGTTCTCTGCTATGGCCTGGGAAGGTGGTGGAAGATGGCCCAAGTGTTTGGGCCCCTGCACCCACGTGGGAGACCCAGAAGAAACTCCTGGCTCCTGTCTTCGGATCGGCTCAGCTCCAGCCGTTCCGGCCATTTGGGGAGTGAACCAGTGATGGAAGACATCTCTCTCTCTCTGTAACTCTTTCAAATAATAAAAAAAAAGAAGCCACACAGAAAATGCTACACATTTTATGATTCTATTAATACGAAGTGTCCAGAATAGGCAAGTTCATAGTGACCAAAAACAGATGAATAGTTTCTCGAGGCCAGAGGGAGGAGAGACTGAGGAATTACTGTCAATGAGGATGCAGTGTATCTCTGGGATGATGAAAATGCTCTAGAATTCCAACAATTCTGAATTATATAAGATTCTCAAGTTAAGTATAAAACATGATACAAAACAGAAGTGCAGTATAAACATTTATATTTTCTCCCACCTGATGTATTTTGATCTTTTTCTGCAGGGCTATTAGTATTATTACCCTTGTAAGAGCTGAAAGGCTGGCTACTCAAAAGGTTATCGCACTCCATGCTGTGGCATAAAGTCTCAAGAAAGCGAAGAGCAAATGATGCACTGTTCACTGGAGGGAGCTGGATGGAATGAGTTTCCCCATCAAAGGAGGCTATATTAGGGGAAAAAAGAGAGATGTTGGAGCCATCTCATAGAGGGTTGAGAAATATAATGCTAACAAAAATCCCCATCAATTTAGGAAATGTATTATAAATCCTACTTATGGTTTTTGTAATTCATAAACTAATATTCTTAATTGTGATAATCCCTTTTTCAAACATAATAGCTTAAAAAAGTTTAAAAAAAAAAGCCAGTATCATTTAGAAATAGTCATGAAGTAAACAATAGCAACAGAAAACCTACTGATCTTTAACAATACTTCCTTGTACTCACAAAATAATGGAAGCCATCAAATTTCTCTCATCTTTTAATGACTTAAGTCACATTTTTATTTAGAGCTTCCTATAGGATCAGTCTCTTTTCTACAAAACTTAAAATATATTGTCAATTTACAGTGAGCTTAACACAGTATGTAAAAGGAGAAATCTGTACCTTTTAGTTAGTAATATTCTGACATCATTTCTCTATTTTGAAAATAAATTTTCTGAACCAGGATTAAAACTCCATAAATATGTAACTATTGTGCTATATCAATATAATAATATTACAATACCATAATTAATATAATAAATATTATAAATAATTCATGCAGTATAAAAATCCCAACCTTCTCTAAACTTAAAATCAAATCTGAAAAGAAGCTGAATAAAGGATTAGATGAGCATACCAGTTATCACTTCTCCTCCACGATTATCTGGCTTCAGGAATCCAAAAACAGTCTTAGATTGAATGGCACAATCCACACAGGCCTGCACAGTTCGCCGCAGCACCACGTTCACGGGGCCTGGACCAAAGTGGTCGGGCAGCTGCTGGATTTTCTTGGGATCCAGGTGAGGGCCAAAGTTTCCATGTTTGTTTATATAGACACAGACTTCAGGAAAAATGTGTATAGATATAGATATTTATAAATATATTTATAGATATAGATATTTATAAACATTTATAGATATTTATAAATGAGACTGATAAAAGGAATTTTGGGAAACCACTACAAAATTACTACATCCCATTAGCCATTTCACTCAAAGAGAATCAAAATATAATTACTATCAATGATCACTTCTGCTATTTAAAATATTGGTAAGTAAATTTTCACATTTGTGAAACTAAACATATAAAGAAATAATTAAGGTGTTGGCGCTGTGGCATAGCTGGTAAAGCCGCTGCCTGCAATGCCAGCATTCCATATGGGTGCCAGTTCATGTCCCAGCTGCTCTACTTCTGATCCAGCTGCCCGCTAATGGCCTGGGAAAAGCAGTGGAAGACTGTCCAAGTGTTTGGGCCCCTGTCACCCACGTGGGAGACCTGGATGAAGCTCCTGACTTTGGCCTGGCCCAGCACTGGCCATGGTTGCCATCTGGGGAGTAAACCAGAGGATGGAAGATTGTTCTTTGTCTCTCCCTCTCTCTCTGTAACTCTTTCAAAATAAATAAATCTTTTAAAAAATAATTTACTTCAATTTATTTATTTCAATCTGATTATAAATAAAAACTACAGAAGTTTTAGGAACATTACAAAAACAATTCTTCATATACTCCCATATTATATAAAATGGCACAAAGATAGGTGAATATTTTCACCTTTTACTTATACACACAGTATAATAATTTCCTTTGAAAACTGGTCATCTTGGTACATTTGGATTTGGACTGAATTTCTTTTAAATCACCAACAGTGTACCTTAACTGTTAAAGAAAACAAATAACTCAAGGATATATGTCACAGTAAGTTCTTATGACATAAATTTATTTAATTCATTTTAAGAAAATAGAAATGTTCCCTGGACTCAACACAAGTGAAGCTAAAGAAGGTGTTTTTTCTTCTTTGTGTTACAGAGTTTGAAGATCTCTTTATCCAAAATTCCTGGAATCAGAAGTGTTTTGAATTTTAGAATGTTTGTACATACATAATGATATATTCTTGGTGATGGGACCAAAGTATAAACACAAATTTATCTATGTTTTATATATACCTTATACATACACAGAGTCTGAAGGTAATTTTATACAGCTTTAGTGTGCTTGTGTTTGAAAGCAACCCACCATATAAGGTCAGGTGTGGAATTTTCCACTTGCAGCATCAGACTGATGCTCAAAAAGTTTTGGATTTTGAAGCATTTCAGATTTTCAGATTTGGGATGCTCAACCTGTATTCATTCATTTACCTAGTCTCTCCTACTAAGGGATTAAGAATCAAAACGGTAAAAAGGAGAAAAAACTGTAAAACTCATCTTTCATTTTTAAAAAAGTTTAATTTTTAGTCAAGAAAGAAAAATTATGGGAGGGGGAGTCCAGAGAATAGAAAGGTGTAAGAGAGATAATTAAGGCTCTAGGATAAAAAGCAATAAAATATGCTTTTGAAAAACAGAAAGAGTAAGGAAATATGCATGAGATGATAAATAAAAGGCATTGATTTGTCTAGGTTTGTGCTGTTTCAAACTTTTCATAGCAGCAAACAATGTAAAGCTACTATGCCAGATGGAAGATGTGTGTGCGTGTGTGCGTGTGTGTGTGTGTGTGTGTCTCCCTCTCTCTGCCTTTCAAATAAACAAATTTATCTTGAAAAAAAAGTCATCATGCCCCTTGATTGGCAGGGACTTGTCAAAGTTTTCTTTTTCTTTTAAAATACATTTATTTATGTATTCAAAAGGCAGACTGGCAGAGTAAGACAGAGAGACAGACAGCAAAAAATCTTCCACAATATCTAGGGCTGGGCCAGGAGCCAGGAACTCCATCCTGGTCTCCAACACGGGTGGCAGGAGCCCAAGTACTTGGGCCATCAGCCCCTGCCTTCCTAGGCTCATTAGCAGGAAGCTGGTTGGTAAGCAGAATAGCTGTGACTCAAACCCCCACTCCTAGATGAATGTCAGTGTCACAAATAACTTAACCTGCTGCACCACAATGCCTGCCCCAAGAAAAAGTACTTTAAAACAGGTTTAAAGGGGGCAGGCATTGTGCTGCAATGGTAAAGCTGCCGCCTGCAATGCTGGCATCCAATATGAGCATTGGTTTGTGTCCTGGCTACTCTACTTCCAAACCAAATACCTGCTAATGGCCTGAGAAAAGCAGTGGAAGATGGCCCAAGTGTTTGGACACCTGCCATCCATGTAGGAGACCAAGATGAAGTTCCTAGATCCTGGCTTCAGTTTGACCCAATCCTGGCGACCACCTGGGGAGCATACCAGCAAGATGGAAGATCTCTCTGTGTTTCTCCCTCTTTCTCTGTAACTCTTTCATTTAATAAATCAATCTTCTTAAAAATAAAAGAAAAAAACAAGGTTTGAAGTAGCTTTGAAGATACATACAGTGGTCAGCCCGGCATCCCATATTGCAGTATTGGTTTGAGTCCTGGCTACTCCAATTCCCATCCAGCTTCCTGCTAATGATCCTGGGAAGTCAGTGGAAGATGGCCCAAGTACTTGAGCCCCTGCCACTCGTGTGGGCGATGGGATTGGAGTTCCTGGCTCCGGGTTCTGGAGTGGCCCAGACCTGGCTGTTGTAGCTATCTGGGGAGAGAACCAGCAGATGGAAGATCTCTCCCTGCCTCTCCCTCTTTCTGTCACTCTGCTTTGCAAATAAATAAATATTTAAAAAAAATACATACACTACAAGAAGACAAATTTTGAAATGAGATAAAGAGAAAACAATTTGTCAATGATATAAAATTTTTAAATCTCACTTAAATGGATAAAATACTTTAGGATAATGAATTTTCTTTTATTAAAAAAAGGATTTATTTATTTATTTGAAAGGCAGAGTTATAGAGAGAGGTCTTCTTTCACCTGCTGGTTCACTCCTCAAACGGCCACAATGGCCACAGCTGAGCCGATCCGAAGCCAGGTGCCTAGAGCTTCTTCTGGGTCTCCCATGAGGTGCAAGGGCCATCTTCTGCTGCTTTCCCAGACCATAGCAGAGAGCTGGATTGGAAGTGGAGCAGCCAGGACTAGAGCTGGCACCCATATGGGATGCTGGCACTGCAGGCGATGGCTTTACCCATTATATAAGCCACAGTGCCAGCCCCAGAATACTGAATTTTCAAGTGTCTCATGAGACCATACCTATAAGGGGTCTTCAAAAAGCTCATGGAAATGCATATTATTGAAAATTATGCATAAATTTAAAACTTTTTACATCAAAATAAATTATCTTTTTTCTATTTTTCTATGAACTTTTTGAAGTATCCTCATATTTATGCAGAATGTTTTTCCCTAACATCAAACTGATCAATTAGCATTACAAAATACTTTAAAATATGAAAAATACTAAAAGAAATGCTTACTATTATCATCTATTATCATCTTTTCCCCTCTTAACTCTAGGACATCAAAGAACTGAAAACAATACAGAATAAAAGACCGGAAATTTTATACTCTTTTTAAAATACTAACTTACCTGTAGACATCACTATTTTAGACATTCTAGGAGCAGCATCCCTATCACCTGAATTGGCACTCTCTCTGATCAGCGTTTTTAAAGAAGTTGAAGATGTAGAACACAACACAGGAATGATTTTTTCCTGAAAGAAAAAAAAAAAGAAAGAAAACACAAGTTTAAACTACTTTTTAAAAACTTCCTAGCAAGAAATCCAGAAGAGTATAGGTATTGTTGGTTCACCAGATTTTGTTACAAAAGTCCTCAATGTTGGCATCCTTGTGTGTGTGTGTCACAACCTGCAGAACTTCCTCAACTGAGTCCCTCAGAGGCTACAGGCTACCCACGTCAGGGAAGTAGAAACAGAGAGGCTGAGACTCCTTCCTCTACTACCTGCTCCAACCATGCACACCTTAGCCACATTATTTCACCAGGTAAAACTGTTTTAATTTTTGAGGCTTCATGTAAGATAATTTTTTTCACACTGCTAAAGAAAAGTCTGTAAATCTTTAACCCAGATCAACACATTCAGTAGGGGGAAAAAAAAAACCACAGAAGAACAAAACTCAACAAGGCAAAGGACTTTTGACAGCAGTTGTTCATGTAGCCTTCCCTGTGTCTAGCCTGCACTTCTCCACATGAAATATAATAATTTTGACAAAATTACAAAGTGGTTTGCTAAAGTTCATACTTCAATGTTGACAGAATTTATTTGTAAATTAATGACTGTCATTTCAGTTCACAGTATCCTAATAGATGATGTTACTTTTAAGTATGGAATTATAATTATTGTGTTGATAATCTTATTATTTCAGTATTTTAAAAATCTGAAATCTGAACCCTTTAGCATGAGACATACCAAGATAGTATGGCTTACATTGACATTGCATATTGAATAAAAGGTACATTGATTTAGAAAATGTGCATCTATACTTCTAGAATCCTTAAGCTTAGGTGGGAAAAAGTGACAGTTGACAAAAGAATAATTTTTACTCTTGTTCAATGATTCTCTGAATAACTAAACTATGAGCATGGTAGTACTAAAATACGGATATAGGTAACTGCATGAGAATCTTCCTCTTTTCATAAGACATTGAAGCTAAAAAAAAGTGAACTGAAATGCTGTCTTTGAAACAAAAATATAATTATCAGAAAAAGATTAGAGTATTGTCCCTTCCCATTCCATACCACTAAAAAAGCAATGTTTTCAAAAAGATATCTTCAAAATTATTAAATTAGCATTCGAATTGGAATATAAAGGAGCCAAAAGAAATGATGTAGAGTTATCTCATACTTTCAACCATTAAACCAACTAATCACAAAAAGTTTTCAGCAACTGTAAAATATACATGCATGTTAATTTAAAAATGTACTTAAAATAGTATATTATTTCATTTTAAATTTCACTATTAATTTTTATTTATTTTTCATTTAAAAAAATCTCATCTGCTATGATTTGCATTAATCTGCTTGACTTTTTCAGTGTTTATAATTACATATTTGAAATACAACATTTAGTTTTGTTTACTTTTAGTTTATAAATTTTCATTGATTAAATAAAAATATCAGTATCAATATTTTTTAAATCAAAGTGGTGTTATTTTGTTTCATATTGTAAACATCAGTAGAAACACTATAGATACTGGTATCAGATGGCTAAACTCAAGAAATGTTTAAGGTAATACCTATGAAATTAAATTCAATCAGCACCAATAAAGCTGAGAAGATTATAGGCCTTTATATTTAGAGTACATTTCCTATACATAGGATGTATTTGGGTCTTTTTAAAAAATCATTTCATAATCTTTTAATTGGAAAGTGTATTTTAATAACTTGGAATGTGATTATTAATACATTTGGGCCTAGTTCTACCATTATTTGTTTTCTATTTATCTCTTCTGTGTTCTTATTCTTCCTTTCTTTTTGAAGTATTTGGATATTCCTTAGAATTCCATTTTAATTTATTTTCTTACTGGTTTTTTAACCTATACTTCTTGGTCATTTTTTCTTTTTAAAGATTTTATTTATTTATGAGAGGCAGAATTACAGGGAGAGAAAGAGAGAAAGGTCTTCCATTCGCTGGTTCACTCCCCAAATGGCTATGAGGGCCAGAGCTGGGTTGATCCGAAGCCAGGAGCCAGGAGTTTCTTCCAGTCTCCCACGTGGGTGCAGAGGCCCAAACACTTGGGTCATCCTCCACTGTTTCCCAGGCCATAAGCAGAGAGCTGAGTCAGAAGAGGAATAGCTGGGACACAAACCAGCACCCATATGGGATGCTGGGGCCACAGGCAGAGGCTTAGCCCACTACGCCACAGAGCTGGTCCCAATATATATATTTTTTTGATAGGCAGAGTGGACAGTGAGAGAGAGAGAGAGACAGAGAGAAAGGTCTTCCTTTGCCGTTGGTTCACCACCCCACCAATGGCCGCTGTGGCCAGCGCACTGCAGCCGGCGCACCACGCTGATCCGAAGCCAGGAGCCAGGTGCTTCTCCTGGTTTCCCATGCGGGTGCAGGACCCAAGCACTTGGGCCATCCTCCACTGCACTCCCGGGCCACAGCAGAGAGCTAGACAGGAAGAGGAGCAACCGGGACAGAATCTGGCGCCCCGACCGGGACTAGAACCCGGGGAGCCAGCACCGCAGGCAGAGGATTAGCCTATTGAGCCGCGGCGCCGGCCCCAATATTTTTTTAAAATATGTACTAGGGATTACCATGGACATCCTTAACTTTCCAGAGTCAACTTAGAATGCTGAAACCTTGCAATGGTAGAGATCCATAGGCCTCATCTCAGGCCTTTATACAGTAATGGTTTTATGTATTATATCTATGTATAACATAAAATCTTAGAAAAGTATCACTATGTTTCTGAATCTGTATATATAAAATACATGAAATCTGTAGACCTTAAAGAAAATTAAAAAACAAAACTGGAAAAAAAAAACCTGAAGTCAGTACCCATTCAACAGGTTAATGTAAGACAACAGAGTTATGAAAATAAACAAACAGAACGAGAGTTACAATCACAATATACAGTAGACACTCCCTCAATATTAGCATATTATCATAAAACTAAAAAACGAGAGGCCAGCACCGTGGTACAGGTTAATCCTCCGCCTGTGGTGCTGGCATCACATATGGGCGCCAGTTCTAGTACCAATTGCTCCTCTTCCAATTCAGCTCTCTGCTGTGGCCTGGGAAAGCAGTAGAAGATGGCCCAAGTACTTGGGGCCCCTACACCCATGTAGGAGACCGGGAAGAAGCTCCCAGCTCCTGGCTTCGGATCGGCACAGCTCTGGCCATTGCGGCCATTTGGGGAGTGAACCAGTGGAAGGAAGACCTTTCTCTCTCTCTCTCACTGTCTGTAACTCTACCTCTCAAATAAATAAAATCTTTAAAAAACAACCTAAAAAATGAATATCTGATTTTATACTTAAATTTTATTGATGACTAAATCCATACATTTACATTATTGTGTATCCTTTTCCATTTCAAATAATAAAAACATTTGATTAAGTTTTATGAAATTAAAAGATTTTTGACATTTCTACATCAAATACTGCAATGTGAGCTTTGAGCATCATAACCTGTACTTTTTCCATAGCAGATAATAATCAGTGATACATGTTAACAAAAGTTGGGTGATAGTGTAATTATCACAATGTGTATAAGTTGCACAGACACATACAAGTAAGTATGTGTATATATACCTAGAATTGTCAGTAAATGAGAATTCCACAGGGCCAGCGTTGTGGTGTAGGAGGTGAAGCCGCTGCCTACAGTGCCAGTATCCCATATAGGTGCCTGTTCGAGTCCCAGCTGTTCCACTTCTGATCCAGCTCTCTGCTATGCCCTGGGAAAGCAGTAGAAGTTGACCCAAGTCCTTGGGCCCTGCACCCACTTGGGAGACCTGGAAGAAGCTTCTGGCTCCTGGCTTTGGATAAGCACAGCTCTGCCCGTTGCAGCCAATTGGGGAGTGAACCAGCAGATGAAGGACCTCTCTCTCTCTCACTCTCTCTCTCTCTCTCTGCCTCTCCTTCTCTCTGTGTAACTCTGACTTTCAAATAAATAAATAAATCTTTAATTCCAGGTGCTGATAAAAAAGACTATAATTATTGCTACAAATAGTCACATTATTAGAAAAAAAAATGAGAGAAAGAGAAAAGCTATTTGCATTTACCCAGAATTTTACCAACTTAGAAGCTATTAACTCCTTTTTGGGGTTATGAGTTTCCATCTAGTCTCATTTTCCTTCAGCCTGATAAACTTCCTGCTAGCATTTCTTGTAGTGCTGGTTTGCCAATGATAGATTCTTTAAGTATATTTTTATCTGAAAATATCTTTAATTCACCTTTTTTTTTTTTCATTTGACAGATAGAGTTAGACAGTGAGAGAGAGAGAGACAGAGAGAAAGGTTTTTCCCTCCGTTGGTTCACCCCCCCAAATGGCTGCCACGGTCAGAGCTACGCCGATCTGAAGCCAGGAGCCAGGTGCTTCTCCTGGTCTCCCATGCGGGTGCAGGGCCCAAGCACTTGGGCCATCCTCCACTGCCCTCCCGTGCCACAGCAGAGAGCTGGACTGGAAGAGAAGCAACTGGGACTAGAACCCGGCACTCACATGGGATGCCGACGCCACAGGCGGAGGATTAACCAAGAGTGCCACGGCGCCAGCCCCTAATTCACCTTTTATTTTTAAAAGCTATTATCTATATCTTTTGTTTCATAGCAAAACATAATGGGGGAAATATTCCTTTAGAATAGAAACAAAAATCATGATATACAGAAATAATAAACTAAATGAGTATAAACCTTATATTAAGAAAATTATAAACTCTAAGAAGTCTCTTCTTTTTTGGTTTACTGATGTATACTTGACAAAAATTACATATATTCAGAGTTCACCTTCATTCTTGAACAGTATTTATGATGGACATAAAAACTTCAGGTTGACTTTTTTTTTCTTTTCAACATTTTAAAAGATATCATCCTGGGGCTGACATTGTAGTCACTACCTGCGATGCTGGCATCCTGTATGGTTACCAGTTCAAGTCCTGGCTGCTCCATTTTCGATCCAGCTCCCTGCTCATATGCCTGGGAAAGCAGGGGAAGATGGCCCAAGTGCTTGGGCCCCTGCAACCACGTGGGAGATCCAGAAGCAGCTCCTGGCTCCAGGCTTTGGCCTGGCCCAGCCCCGGACATTGCGGCCATTTGGAGAGTGAACCAGAAGTTGGAAGAACTCTGTCTCTCCTCTTTAATGCTGCCTTTCAAATAAATAAATAAATCTTTAAATTAAAAAAAAATAAGGTACTATAGAGACCTATAATACATATTAGCGGGAGATACAACTAACCTTTTTTCCTGAGTTTACACCTTTTTTCTTTGGTGTGGGATTTTTAACAGAACTACCCTTCTTGGGAGCTGAAGTATTTCCAGAAGATTTAGTTCGACCTGGTTTCTTGACCTGCTGTGTTGGCAATCCTGGAGCAGTGTTCTGAGGAGACTGCATTGAACGCTCAGTTGCTTTGGAAGGGGAAGACTGTGTTTTTGCTGTGTTCTTTACAACAGGAACTAAGAAAAAAACACAACAAAATAAATGACATAATTAAGGTATTATCTTCTTACGACTCAAAAGAAGTTTATCTCTAAAACCATTCCCAAAGGTTATTTGTTGAAAATTACTTAAAATAAAGGCAACATTTAAAATGAAGTTGCAGGTATTTTAGATTTCAGATTATCAGGAAATAGCCTAATTATCCAGAAAAATAAAGAGGCTTTTATAGGAGAAATGAGTAACTGACTTAGCAAAGTGAAAACTTCTGGCAATTTACCTTTTAGCTGCTTCTCATACTTTTCCTTAGCACAGAAAAGACTGTTTCCTTTAGACAACACTATCAAATTACACACATATAGGATTCATCTTGCATATCTATATAGAGATAGAAAAACACAGCAAAGTGTTCCTGCTTTATCTTTCAGGGGCCAAGGACTGCCCTGGTTCCTGATTATTTAATTTTATTGAAGTATAATTGAAAAATAAAAATTATAAATATCTATATATTTTAATTTTTTGAGAGTCAGAGTGTAGGGAGCAACTCGGACTAGACTAAGTTACTGGAATTAAGACTTATTCTATGCATCTGCTCTCCCACAATATGGCGCTGGGAGAGGAGTAAACAGCTTCTACACAGCTGCCTCTCACCAACTTGACAAGCTGCAGGAGCTGCTCCTGATTGGAGGAGAGCAGCGTACTCGGCATGTGGGTAGCAGAGTTGGGATTGGTGGAAGAGGACTATAAAGGAGGAGAGAGACAACATGCACCAGGAACATCTATCTGAAGGAACACCTGAGCAGCCCCTGAGAGAGCCGGCCGGCGGTGTGCCGCTCCCCCGCGGAAGTGGGGAAAGTGGCAGGGGGAACCGCCCTTCCACGGAGGTGGAAGGGACGGCAGCCAACCTGGGAAGTACCAGCAGCAAACCCGGGAAGGGCCGAGCAGACAAAAGAACAGCGCAGGGTCCTGTGTCGTTCCTCCGTGAAGAGGGGGAGCGACATCATAGAAACAGAGAGCAAGCGCAAGAAAGAACTTCTCCATCAAATGCCTGAAAAAGCTGAAGCTGGAACTCAATCCAGGTCTTCCAAGTGGGTGACAGGAACACAGTTACATAAGTCACTACTATTGTCTTCCAGGGCCTGCAGGAAGCTGGAATCAGGAGCTGGAGCCAGGGATCAAACCCAAGTACTCTGAAATGGGATGTATGTGTTTTAATTGGCATCTTAACTGCTATGCTAAACAATTGCCCCAAAATTATATAATTTATTTAAGGCTAAAATGCACTATGCTACTATATGAGGATGTTTCTAAAAATTCATGAAAAGATTAATCAATTAAAAGATAAGGTTTTCTGGGGCTAGCGCTATGCCATAGCCTGTGATGCCAGCATCCTATATAGGCACTGGGTTCAGGTTCAGTCCCAGCTGCTCCACTTTCAATCCAGCTCCCTGCTAATAGCCTGAGAATAGCAGCAGAAGATGGCCTGAGTGTTTGGGCCCCTTCTACCCATGTGAGAGACCTGTATGAAGCTCCTGGTTCCTGGTTTCAGCCTGGCCCACCTCTGGCCATTGCAGCTATCTGGGGACTAAACCAGCAGTTGGAAGATCTTTGTCTCTCCTTCTAACTCTGACTTTCAAATGAATTTTAAAAATCTTAAAAACAGGTAAGATTTTCTCACACAAAAATTTGTGAAATCCAACCACATGAAAAGTCTTCAAAAAGTTCATAGAAAATGAATATTACAATGAAATAATATAAAATCTCACATAGATTTTAATTCCATTTCTAGAGTGCCTGGACTCAAGTCCTAGCTCCACTTCCAATTCCAGAATCCTGCTAATGCACACCCTGGGAGACAGTGGTGATGGCTCAAGTACTTGGATTCCTCCTCTGTGGACAACCCAGACTGAGTCCCTGGCTCTTGGCTTTGCCCTGGCCCAACCCTAAGTGTTGTGGGCATCTGGGGAGTGAACTAGTAGATAAAAGATCTATCTCTATCTGCCTGTCCCTGTCTGTCTCTCTCTCTCTCTCTACCTTTCACAAAAATGAAATTAATAGAATTTTTTTTTTGACAGGCAGAGTGGACAGTGAGAGAGAGAGAGAGAGAGAAAGGTCTTCCTTTTGCCGTTGGTTCACCCTCCAATGGCTGCCGTGGTCGGCGCGCTGCGGCCAGCGCACCGCACTGATCCGAAGGCAGGAGCCAGGTGCTTCTCCTGGTCTCCCATGGGGTGCAGGGCCCAAGTACTCGGGCCATCCTCCACTGCACTCCCTGGCCACAGCAGAGAGCTGGCCTGGAAGAGGGGCAACCGGGACAGAATCCGGTGCCCCGACCGGGACTAGAACCCGGTGTGCCGGCGCCGCTAGGTGGAGGATTAGCCTATTGAGCCGCGGCGCCGGCCAGAATTTCAAACCTAAATAAAATTTCATATACTATAACACAGACTCTACATTAATGTTGCCATATAAAGGCCACTATCATGCCCAAGTGATTTGTAGCTACTAGTTACCCAGTAGTCCAATCCAGACAATTTAAATATTGTGAATGAAGGTTACCTGCCTAGTTACTTTCATCCATATTCACAGTTAAACAAAAAGATATTTTTAGCATCAATCCCTTAATAACTTAATTATTACCAAAAATAAATTTTACATAATGAAAAGTACTGGTGCCAAATAAAAATTCTTTACAGGAAGAGCTGTATAAATGAAACACTTATAAATATATGCAAAAAAACAACTATTACTTTTATTTCAAGGGTTTCATTTTACACTTTGACATTAATCTACTGCTTTGTTCCTCCCATAGTCAATGGACTATCCGATCTGTGAGAAAGAAAACTGCATCTTTTCTGAAGCTTTTCTTATCTATTTTCTGCTACTTACCAAACCACAGTGGAGGGAGCAGCTAACTATTGGCTGCCAGGACAAACACAAGACCACTTAACCGCCACCATAATTTTCCCCCTAACACCAGCCTTTTCTTATCTCATTACCATCATCTACCTCATACTCCAGCCTCACTTCTTCTTCTTCTTTTTTTTTTTTTTTTCAAAAAGTCCAGTACCTAATTCACATTATTTCTTCTTACACAATCTCCCCATCATCATTTTCAGGAATTTGATCATCACGCTGTTGATGAGTCATCATCCTGACTTTACCATTAACATTTCAGGTCTCTGAAATGGTTAGATGTACTTGGAAATTCGTAGAACTCTTCTATCTTCAAGACAACAAATCATGTGTCCTTTTTCGACCTCAAACTTCCTTATCTGTCATCTTTGCTTCCAAACCAATGACTGCCCTTTGCTTTCTCTTCATGACATCTAGCCTCAAGCCCCTAGCCCCTCCAATGTCATCTGATCCAATAACTATCTTCTGGCTTTGCTTTATTCTCTACTCAACATGAACCTAACTGTCCATTTCCACCAACCTTCCACCAACACACTTCTAACTAGCATCCATTCCTTTATCAACCCTTCATCTTTGATTATGACCAGCATGTCAGTTTCTACCTGAGTCATACTACTGTTGTCTTTCTCTGGTCCTGAGCTATAAAACAAGGACTAGCAATATCTTTCTGTAAAGGGTCAGACAGTAAATATTTCAGGCTTCAAAGGTTACATACAGCCTCTGTTTCACATTCTTCTGTTTGCTTTTGATTTTTTTTAACAATTAAGAAGATAAAAACCATTGGTATCTCGCAAGCTATACAGACTGGATATAACACTCAGCCTGTTTACCAATTTGTGTTTTAGAATTTTGGATCTACACTAATATTAAGTGGAGAGTCATTAATGTGACTCGCCGATTTCAAGAAGGTTTCCAAGGCAGAACATTCTCCCTGTTTAAGTTCCCATCTAAGGGTCAGTGCTGTGGTATAGTGAGTTAAGCTATTGCCTGTAGCACTGGCATCCATATGGCTGCTCCACTTCCAATCCAGCTCCCTGCTAATGCACCTGGGAAACACAGCACAAGATGACACAAGTGCTTGTGGGCTCCTGCACCCACGTGGAATACCAGGATGAATCTCCTGGCTCCAGGCTTCAGCCTGGCCCAGCCCGGCCCAGCCCCAGGCTGTTGCAGCCATTTAGGGAGTGAACCAGTAGATGGAAGATCTTTCTCTCTCTGTGTCTCTCCCTCTCTTTCTCTGTAAATATGCCTTTAAATAAAAAAAGATTTATTTTATTTATTTGAAAGAGTTGCAGAGAGAAGTAGAGACAGAGAGAGAGGTCTTCCAACTGCTGGTTCACTCTCCAGATGGCCGCAATGGCTGGAGCTGCACCGATTCAAAGGCAGGAGCCAGGAGCTTCCTCTGGGTCTCCCATGTGGGTGCAGGGAAGGACTTGGGCCATCTTCTACTGCTCTCCCAGGCCATAGCAGAGAGCTAGATCAGAAGAGGAGCAGCTGGGACTAGAACTGGCACCCACATGGGATGCCGACACTTCAGGCCAGGGCTTTAACCCACTGTGCCACAGCACCAGCCCTGAAAAATAAATCAATCTTAAAAAAAAAAAAAAGCCCATTCCCTTTCACTTACTCCATTCAGTAAATGACCCAAGCTTCAACTTTCTGTGAAGATTAAAGGTACCTTTTGGGAGTAACCTTACCCATCCCATTTCTCCATTTAGCTTAAAGTACTTTTATTTTCAGTCATTCTTGCCTCTTTTCTATCAAATGAAGAGTTCTCTCTGTAGTTTTCTAAGTCCAATCTTTTTTTATTTATGTCTTAACAACTACCTTTGATTACTCTTGGAAATTAAGGTTTCAATTATCGCCTCTATCTTCATGATATTTAATTACTTGATCCTCAAGTCTTTGCTCTTTCAGCCTTCACTTATGCCTTATTTTGAAATTCTTTCCCTTGTCCTGGTGTACTTTCAATACCTTGAGTGAATTTCCTCCTACTCACTACCAAAATACCAAGAAGAATCATGTCTACTTGGTACATTAATTTCCTAATTATTCCATTTCCTTAGTTCCAGTAATAAGCTTTTCTTCTCTCAAACATATTTTAAAGCAA